CATCCTTGATAGGTGTATCGCTGTAAAATGAATGGATTCTTGGTAAATTACTTGAAGGAAGAGGATTGCAATTAGAATTTCGAAATTTAGAAATGGTTTAAAGATAATCAGCGCTGAGACTTTCATTCAGAAAGTGTGGAGCACGCCATGACAGATGTAAATCGAACTTACCTGATAAATGGAAAGATAGAATCATCGTACTGTTTATGGAAAAGATGAGTAATAGCTACAGCTTGTTGAACAACAGAAAAAATAATTAGGAGGTTCAGCTTTTGGTTCAGCTAATGATATTCCTACAAATTAAAGATTCCAATCAACATGTGAAAGATGATGGTTGGATAGTCCTTTCGAAAAAAGTAAAAGTAGAGTTTTTTTTATACAGATACCTGCAAGTGAAAGGTCGATTGCATAATCCAAATGTTCCGTGTACAAAAATCGCAAAAGTACATCAAATATCACTTCCGTCATTTTCGGCGCTTCCTCTTTATCACATAACTAAAACTGTGCATAAATTCAGAATTAGAAGAATATAAATAAAAAGGATGACAGGAAAATGTATTTTTTCATGTCACTTGTTTGCACTCAAAACTGGAAGAGTACAATGCATTGAGAAAATCTGGCTGAACAAAAATAGGAAACATTCTCCCCTTTCACATAAAACAAAAAGATAATCATCAGCTATGTCATCATTTATTTTCAGGACGGTACGTTACCAGCTGGCAGCGTTGGAAGGCATTCTTCGTTTCTTGGAGTATGTTAATAGCTAATTCTTCAGATAGAAATGTTTCGCCACCATATGTTTCCACATTCAATAATCTTGCTTGAATATCTCGCTTCAAATCTTGCAACCTAATTTCAGGTTTTATAAATATAAAAATTTATCCGATGAAAGAGGTTCGAAAGCAACTATCAACATTATTTAGTTGCAGTAATTTTTATTAGAAATTACTACAAGTAATTTGACAAATTAACAATACAAATCACTTTTTTTGGTCAGCTGATGTTAACTTTTTAACAAAGATGGCAAATCATTTACCCCCCACTCTGGATTTGTTTCTTTTGATGATTTTTCGATTCATAAAAGCGACTTAATACAGCGCCACATTGTTCTGTCAAGAACTGCCGCTCAATTCTGAAAAGATCATGAAGATATAAAGCAGACTATTCATTAAATTCTTTTAGAAATTTATATCGATATATTCTCATTGGTATACTACTGAATGAAAAATTTAACAAAGTCGTAAACATGCGTTTTTATTAATAAGCCTTCCGCACCATCCCGATAGTGAATAATCACCAATCAGAATTAGAAAAGACTTTTCCGCGATAAAATTTGATCTAAATATGTCATATAACATGCAAGTGAGAATACTCAGGAAAAGAAATCTCAAAGAAGTATTCCGAAAGTTTTAAGGAAACAAAAAACATTTAATTTAGCTAATTTAAAGCAGTTGAGTGACAATTACTAAAAATTTTTTCAACAGATATATTAAAAAAGGCTCGTTGGATTTTTAAGAGATATTCTGCGAATGTACATTATTGCTTGGTGATTGCGCTGTATGAACAAATTAAAGCACTTAAAAAAGTTAAGAAGAAACTGAAAACCAAATGAAGACATACGTGGGATACGTTTCTAAATAACGCCCGAACACTGATCGCACCAATGTGTCCATAAACTGAAGATCAGTTCCAGAAATCCGCAGTGCAACTAAATTTGACACTAACTTTTGCGTTCTGAAATTTATTATTCATTAAAAATCTGCATATAAACAATGATTTGCTTTTAAAAAATGAAAAAAAGAACTAAAAACCGAAAGATCTCGAATTATGTCAGGTGGAAATGAACCTGGAATACAGGTCATGTATTGTTGTCAAATAAGCTTCTAAATCATTTTCAGAATCGCTCAACTTTGTCGTTATGACTTCCTGCAAATTAAGGAATTCCTTAAAAATAACTTTTTTCATTATTCCGACTCAGTTCACTGTTCCCTAATGGTAATCAATAAGAAGGAATCAAAATCGATGTTTTCGTATCGCAAAACTAATAAATTACGCAATATTTTCAAAATATGTGAAAATTGTTTAACCTCGACAAACAATCAGCATTTACCTGTAGTTTTCCGTGAAATAAATTTAGAATCAACTTTGACATTACTTGGTCGGGATTCGGGAAAATCTCTTTCAACATCGGCTGTGTTTTCTGACAAAGCGATAAAATATCATCGAAAACGTTATCACTACGGAAAGCATTAATCTGCATATGTTCAACAAAAGCATCCAGACACTGCGAATAACCCTAAATCCGTAGTTTAGTGCTTCATTAACTTCTGCATTGTCCAATAAAATTAAAAATAAAAATTCATGGTGTCCAGATGACAAAATGCTTCAGATCGAAATTTTAAAAATTCGTTTTCCGACCATATTCCTGAATTAGAAAGAAAAAATCATTGTAACAAAAAGTCATTGTAATAAGATACTGCAATAGATTAAGGATCACTGATCATTGTAATAGGAAGAAATGACCATTGCAATCGGCTCCGTCTTACTAAATTGAAAATGTCTGTTTCAAAAAATACCGCATAACATAATAATCGAACACAAATTTAATTCAAAAGTCCCGTCAATTCTTGGGAAATAGATGACAACTTTTCAATCATAGCAGCAGATTCCAATAACCATTACTTTGAAGTCAGCCAAAATCACAGCAATTTCATGCATTCTACGCCAATTACCCTGTCGATGGGCTCGCACAAATTCTTCTAACATTAACCGCTCGATTTCATCGTACTTATGAGCAATTCTAATCTGCACGTTACTGTATTTATCTTTTGCTAATTCCTGGGAAATAGATGACAATTTCTGGATCATAGCAGCGGATTCCAATAACTGAAATTTAGAAGTTATCTTGAAGTGCTTAGATTTACAGTAATATATATGAAGAATTCATACGGTTAACATCAATTTATTTACCTCCTATTATATTTTCAGACGACGATGAAAATATACCCTATCTGGATCAGTGAAGATATCAGAACTTAAAGGTTGATCTGCCAAAAACTCATCGAAATGTTTCATAAGCTGAAGAGCTTCATTAGCGCGAGCACGTGGTAAATGAACACTTTCCAGCTGATCACCCAAATGTACCACTTTAGTTGAGACTGTTTGCATAGTACTATCCAACTGCTGCAAAATATTGATTTCAGAATTCCAAACGATTTTCAATAAAATTGATATATTTGAAATAAATACACATTTTCAAACAGAATACAATTGTCATTAGTCAGATAAATAGATAAGATGAAGATAACCTTACTAGATTACTTCATAACGCTGATGGCTATGTTCAACATAAAGTCATGCATTGCATAATTAGACACTAAATTCCAGTGACGCATATTATTACTATTCATCTAAAACTACTAGATTTGTAAAATAAAGACTAAGATTTTTTCGAACCTTCAATTTATCCATAGCATCAGCATTTTGTTCATGAAGTTTGTGTAGAACGTTTAAATATTCACGTTTATCATTGCTACATTGTTGTTCCAATGAACTTATCTTCGACTATAACAGCTTCAACATTTTAGCATTGCTATAAAGTTTTGGACCATACCAGGCAGAAGCTAATGTGCAAGTTGCCAAATCGTACTTATTCTGAATCTTTATTAATATTAAGGCCTATAAATCTTAAAAATTCTCAGTTTTAGAATTTAAGAGAAAAGATATAAAGAATGTTACTTGAAATTGATCGCTTAACATTTGCAAATTGCCAATTTCCTCTTCAAACTTTGTTTTCAAATCTATAACATTAATGTCATCTTTGCCGCCAGTTAAACGCCATGCCAATCTTTCCACAAAATCAATGGCATCAAAAGGTTCCTGAAAAACAAACGAGCTTACAAATTTTATAATAGAGTTATATTTCAGATGGTACAGTGAGTGACTGCTTGAGCTTTTGTCGTGATTAAGAGTAAAATTACTCTTAAAGATGGAAAAGTTCATACTACATTCCTCAGCAAAGAGGTTATGGATAAAATTTGAAAGGCGAAATTTAATTTATCATTCTTTCAGAATAATATGTAACAAAGGATAAAAGTTTCCGGAAATTATACCAACCATTTAAATGCTATGTTTTTTTCATGCAACTTTGATTACCTGTTCCAAATCTTCGACATAAGTTGAAAAGTACTGATTCGTCATCGTCCTGATTCCTTATTATATTTCTAACCAGTAGAAGCGGCACCAATTATTTCTATCTAATAGCGACGATATATTCTGGAAGAAAAAAAGCAATCCGTTATTATCATTTCAAAAGCATCGTGAAATTTGTCGGCAAAAAAAAAACAACCTAAAGTAAATTGTATTGAGAACAATCCAAAAAAAGTGTCAAGCAATATTTTTAATATTATTATTAGTGTAGTAAACAGGATAGGGGCATATGAGGTGAAAAAAAAAACAAATATAAAACGGGTGGAAGAACATACAAACGGTAAGAATAAGGTATATAACAGAAAGAACAAGGTATACAACAGAAAGATAAACAATGGAAAGGACAAGGTATGCAACAAGAACATACCAATGAAAGAATGAAGTGTACAACAGGAAACGGGAGCTATGAAGCACATGACAATTCCTGAAAGAGCAATATGTTCTATAAATTAAATGATAAAAATCAAAGAGTAACTTAAATCAACAAAAGATGCATTCTTCTCGATGTAATATTATCAAAACTAATAAAACATTGGTGAAGTTAAATATGAATTATTGCTAATATTAATGATATCATAACATTTTGCTTCTTCAAAATGCAAAATAATTAATATTCAATCCATTTAATAGGAAAAAAAACATAGGTCGATTAAAATTTGCTCAAAAATTTTAAAGTGATAAAATATATTGTAGGAAACAAAGCAAAATTAAATAATACAACACAATAAACAAATATATGAATGCATATAAGCAAATGCACTTCACACACGTATATGCGTAAAATTTGTATGAATAATACAATGAAATAAACAAATCGACAATAAATCTACGTGAATGCATACATATATCTACGTATATTAATAAATTTATGTGTGTGTGCGTACACGTATATGTTAATAAATTTACGTATGTGCATACACGTAGATATTAAATTTACGAGGGTGCATACATGTGTATATTAATAAACTTACGTGTGTGCATACGCACATATAAATTTACGTGTGTGCATCACGTATATATTAATAAATTCACGTGATATGCTACACATAGATGGATTTGCATACACGTAAATGTATGAAGTTTGTACATATGTAAAAATAGAAAAAAAGATTTAAGCAATGTAACATATGGAATTTTTTTTCTTTTCTCTTCTATGAATGGAAAGAAAAAGAAAAAAAACAAACCATTTCCATTGATAATTTCCATAATCATTGCCACTTTTCTTTCCTTATTTTTTTCCTTTTTCGTAATATTTCATATGTCTCTCTCATATAGCCTTTCCATCATTGTCACTTGATTATTTTCAATCACTGCTACAGCTGTAATACATGATCATTGACAAATTTTCTCAATCTCTAACATTACACTCTCTCTTCATTACTTATATATGCTCTTATCCTCTACCATTCATTAGTTTTACCACGTATTTTTAAACCTATTAAAATCCTAATTCTCTTCCACCGCTTATCCTCTCAGTTTTATTCTAACGGGTTCAAAATCATTTAGCTATGATGACATCTATTTGGTTGTACCTTTTTTACGACTTTTACTATCTTTCCGACCACCATATTCCGGTTCCGGTAGTGGATTGCTTGCGTTCAAGATGTGGAAATTCTCATGTTTTCTCACTTTAGCATAATAACTGGATAAAAAATATAACGTTTGTCGTAATTTGGATGTAAGATTTGATAAAAGATTAATTCAGTTATGATCAGCAACATTTTCACGTTGCCTTTGAAAATCGGATACGGAATTCAAGGCAGTAGATTAGAATTTAAAGAAGATGACTTCCTGCTTTCCCGCAAGAATTTATTCTGTTCAAGTATTTCATTGGAACATGAAACATTCCAAATATTCTGGAAGAATTACAAATAGATAAGATATTATTCAGTGAGATCAAAAGACGAAACTAAACCGGAATAGAATGATTTACATTACTGTTAGTGTGCTGTTTCCATATTGCTATTTTAGGCTGGAGTTTTAAAATTTCATCTAGCTTCTAGGCTTTAAGGTGCGGAAAAAAAACACACGATCATTTTTGATATCCGGAAAACCCTCTTGAAACGGGAATGAAGTTTTCGAGCACATTTATAAAATAAATTTAATGAAATCAGAGCATTCAAAAGAAAACCATTGGAACAAGTAACGAAACAGGTTTCATACGAATAATGAATATACATACATTGATTAGTCGGGCTTCGAAGATTTTCCGGATTTCGCAGAAATTGTTTTGGTGACTTACCGGACAGAATCGAAATTTCAGGGATAATCCACGAATGAATTCCCCTTGAATTTTTGCATGCTTTTGATTAAATATTATTATACCAATAGTTTGCATATCGATAGTGCATTTCCTTTGCCATTTTTTGATGTGCTGATAAGGTGATAAGCATAAGGGATATTTATAAAAGTTAAATATTTATTATCGAATTATATACATAACCTTATTTGTTTCCCATATTTGTATTATTCCAGTTTAATTACTAATTATCATATCTTTTAGATAAAAGATAAAGCGTATCTTCTACCATCAACCTGGCTTCTCTTTTGCTTTTATGACAAGGCTGTTGATAAGGAATAAATATATTAATAATTCATCACTTATTTATCATATTTTGTTATAAATTTAATTTTTTATCGTAAATATAATTTGGGCAAAAATTAATGAGTAGCATAAGTGATGTAATGTTCGTTATCTGCTAAACAGGATCTATTTTGAAATTGAGAAATAAGTTTTCTTGTTGATATTTTCTGATTTTGTGATGTAAAATTTGTAAATTTATAATATGAAACGTTGGAATGTTTGGAAATTTTTACAAAGTTATCGTTAAAATGAACTTTTCAGTGCTCGGTATCATTTGTATATATATACATATATGTCTATATGATCGTACTAGTACTGGTAGTTCTGAAGTACTTGTAACTAACATATGATGCAGATGATTGATAAACTAATATCAGTAACGCGTGAATCGAATTGGGATGAAGCGGAACGTATTTTGGTGGATTATTGGACACAACAATGTCCACTCATTTGTGCACCCACAAAGGATCCATCGTTTGATTTTAAGATCGATGAAAATACATTCAGTAAGTCTTCTTTTGACTCTATCGATATTTGGTTACAGTGTGAATTTGTCTATCATTATCTTTATAAGTTTGAGCATTAATGGATGGTTGCCTGATAAATGCTCAATTTCTTATCACTTGTCAATGCAACCATTAATAAATGATAAAAAGTATTAAAAAAGTATTGAATTAATTATAATTTGTTTGTCATCTTATCATTTTTGAACACTAATTAGTGATAACCGAGTTATCGGTTTATCATTCATCATTTCTCAATTTTAATGTTGATGAAAGAGTGACTAGTAACCAAACTACCTATTCCTTGTCATGCGACAGTCGTATTTTTGAATTTTGCTTATCTCCTTATTCCTCTGTTACTACCTGACGAATTGGGAAGATCAAGTGTTTAAAAAAAAAAAACCAACAAGAAATCGACTCTGGCTCCTTTTCAATATGCATATTTTGTCTCCAAAACGCGGGATTTGGATATCAAATCCGATGCAAATTCTTAATTTTGAAGATACGGTATGCTGAAAAAAATACTTTAATGTTATTATCATTTCGAAAGTTGACAACACAGTCCATCAAAATGTTTGGTTGTCGGGTTTTTATTGTGTGACAGTCCTTTCGATCTCAGTCACCGTTCTGGAAATATTCCCGAGAATTGTGAGAAATGCAATTTTTTCTGCAAAAAAAAGAGGAAACCCGAGTATTGTAATCAGTTTACAGAATTCACAAAATCTAAATTTGCAATTAATTAACATGAAGAGCTTGATTATTAATCGATACAGTTTTGACATTTGAATGAACTGAACTTTACAGCTCAGTTTTTAGAGTAAACAATTAGGCTATAACGTCATCCAATCGATGATGTAAGAAAACAAAAAAAAGAAAACATAATTGTCCGATAATTTAATCACTTATGAAAACTGTTAAAAAATTAAGATCCATTTAACCGCTTAAAAAAGTGAACAACTAACAAAGAGGAGAGAAAAGTTGAGGAGTGTGGTTCTTTTGAAAAAACTTCAATTTTCAATGCAATTGTTTACTAATGCATTTAGAAATATGAGCACTTAGCCAAGCTGACTTTCTTGGAAATATTTCAAATTCAGGAAGGATAGAGCTGATATGGCTAATCTGAAAGTACAACTGCATCGCAGTAATATCATGTGTTATCATATCAATAATATCGATGAATGTTTCTGACCAGTAATTTTCCTCCTCCTTGATTTAAGTATAAAGTAGAAAGACTGACATTCAGGCTTTTTAAATTAAATAACTTAACCTTTATGTAATTGGTACAAAGCACTCCTCCATGACTATTATACGGAAATGATTTGATAATATTCTGAATAACTTTTTGTTGGTGATTAATGTTCGGTGTTTTAGCATCATGTTTATGAGATGTGCTGCACTGAATAATGACTTATTATATACAGTGATAAGATCCATTAAACAATGACTATTACTCCTTCATGTTGCTTAATTACAGTTATTAACTTCAAGCCTGTATAGGAACTTGTCGTGAAAAGTTCGAACTCTTCGAGACTTTTGCGCATTCTTTGTCCTTTTTTTCCTATCTGTAGGTATAATTCTGCATTTATCATTTTATCATTTTTGCGGAAACGATTTAATACTATTGTAACATTACTAGTCGAATTAAATGTGCTTTTAATTAAAAATTTTTTCTTTGTATTGCTCAAGTATGTATTATAGAGTTAGATTTATCGTATACAATAGAGATGTTTGTACCTTTTTTTTTCTAGATGAAAAGCTGCTTCATCCTATTGCTTGTGCATATTGTTTGGATAGAAATGTTGGAATGGATTTAACGCCACTCAATGCATCATACGGGTCGAAATCAAGTGCAAATCGTCGAAGTGCTTTCTGTGGACATGTTTTTAGGGGTGGAGAAGCGACGTATTCATGCAAGTTTGTCAATTAGTTTCATTCGGGATTTTACTTCTTTTTCTTTTCCAGGAGATAATTGATGAGGTTATTCGAACAAAATGATTTAATTAATCCAAGTATTTTAGCCAATTAATCAAAAAAAAAAAGAAATGAAAATCATCCTGGAGGATAAGTTTAAATATCAAATAGCTAACATCATTAGCCTTTTATTGATCAGTTATGATGCATATATTCATAATATTAAATTATATTAGCTTTTAATGAATTTTAACTGAATTATCCTATCTCTCCTAATGAAATATTTTAAAAGCTTTTTTTTTTCTTTTTTTTTTTTTTAATTAGGATGACATGAACAGAGTAAAAGATATTATGTTTTTTTTCAGAGAATGTGCTTGTGATCCTACATGTGTTATGTGTTATCAATGCTTCCTAAATTCCGCTCATAAATCACACAGATATGGAGTAAGTTGTTTTTCGAATGCTTTCGAAGGGAGTTAGATTTGTTGAGTTATGGTTTCTATTTCAGAATCGCTGGAAGCCGGAGAAATTCTTTCTGCGGATTAACTGAGCTCTCTTTTATGTACTGAATATCGTACTGAATAACTTTCGCTTTGTTTTACGGTATTGTAATATTAATATCAAAGATGAACATTTTTGAGATGTGGGCATCCAATGGAAATGGCTGCTGTGACTGTGGTGATGTGGAAGCTTGGAAAGAGCATCCGGCATGCAAATTACATGAAGTGCTACGAAATGATGAGCATGATTCGCAGTAATTTTTGACACTGTTTTTCTCTCTTAATTTTACCGCGAATATTACGCTAAGTCCGTTTAATGGACTATATTTATTCACTTGATTACTTTTGTCAAAAGTAATATTGGTTTCTTTCCTATTGTGCTCCTATTAGTTTTGTAAAAATTTAGTTTCATGTACTAAGTTTCAAGCTAACATTGATAGTGAAATACTTTCCGTAAATAATCAATCGAAGAAAAAAGTTGTTGACACAAAAAATTTGATTTTCTTTCCGCTTAACAGCGTGCTTCTTTCTAGTATTATACAGTGTTTCATTAGAACCGTTGAGTAAGTTGGGTTCAAAAGCAAAGTTTTTTTCTTTTCAGGGTGACTGATGTACCAGCAGAAATTACAGAACAAGTCGAAACACGTATACGTTCACTAACACGCATTGTACTTCGATTCTCGACGAGAATTATCTGTTGGCGTGATGAAAACACATTGCCAACATTTCTAAAGTAGCTATTTTAATTTGTTGAATTTCCAGTTTGTATTTGTATTTTTCAGCGTTTATTATGCTTTTTTTTTACATTCGAAATTAAAAGATGACCTTTTTGTGATTTACAGAGAGAAAGAAACGGATAGCATTTTGCCGCTTTATCAGACCATTTTGTTAAATGATGAAACTCATACTTTTGACTCAGTTAGTTTCCTTTTTTAATTTTCATTGTTTCAATTTAATTCTTTTAATGTAGCATAGACATATATGTACCTTCCGACAGGGAAAGGTGGTATAAGTATCCGAAGGAAGTTCAATTAGAAATGGCGAGAGTAAGAACAAGTGTTAAGAAATACGAAATAGCGATGTTTTGATAAGAAAGGAATATATTTTGATTAGAAAAAGTATGTCACTAATTTTTGGAAATTTCAAGTTAATAATGGTAAAAACCATTATTAACTTGAAATTAAAACAAATCAAATAAAGACCTAACCGACATTTGTTTGTTCGACCTTTCGATTTAGTTTTTTTTTTATTTTTTTATTTTTTTTTTATGTTTTCGATTTAGAGATTGATTTATCAACCTTTTAACAAAGATGTTGATTAAAATAAACAAATTGATGAACCGTGAATCTTTTCAAAACATTGGCGCATAACTAATATGTAATTTTACTTCCTTCATCAAAGTTGCTTAGCAGATTAATGTGATTAGTAATTATTTGCCTGTCAAATGTAGTTTTGGTTTTAGGTAATCAGGGCATTAAACCTTTCTATACATTGTAATCAGCTACAAGCAATGCAATTAGCTACTGTAATTGATCGTGAAGGTCGTGCTTCTGTTCGCAATGGTAATATTGATTACTGTATAAAGGCAAAAGATGAAATTCAGGTGAGACAAAATATTTACATATATTTTGCTCTTGTTAAAAGTATGAGTGTTTGTAAGTTGTAAAAGATATGTTTAACCATGAAGTATCATATAAAAAAATGAGATAGTAAGCAAAAGAACGTAGTATGCTGTTTTTTAAAGAAGTGGATTGTGCTCTTCTTCGTCCTTCAGTCCTCTCCGAACTTTTTGGAATACTTCGGAACTTTTTAGACGGTCTTTTTTCCTTACCTGATGAGACTAATATTTATTTTTGCTCACAATAATTGGGGCTTCTGTTTAATTTTTATAGTGTTGTAGTTCGGAATAAGAAATTTGATCAAAATTTCTGCGAAATGTCAAGATGTTACGTCTGATTTTAGAGGCGTACTCAAAGGGATTCAAATCATCGAACAGAAAAGAGTGGTCCGTTAGATGTGCGTGTTATCGATAGTCGATTTATCTCACTGCAGAATTTTGCAGTGCGTCTAATTGGATGGTTGACGAATCAAACACGTCATTTTCGTGAGTGATTTAAAAAGTCACTGCATCATTGCAATGCTTCCATTAGCTTATTTTCAAACCAATTCTAAGAGTGATTTTTGAATTTTTGAATTTCAAGTTACCGATTCCAAGAATGTTTCCACTTTTTTTTCTAATTTTGTAAATATTTCCTATCATGTTTCAAAATTCACCACTAGCTGTTATATCCTGATAAGGATATTCAAGAGGGATTTAACTTAGGAAGCAGATATTTATTAAAAGTTTTCAAAAATCCCCATGAAATTTGACTTGAATATCAAGATTTATGGTTGGTTGTGAAACAAATATTAATAGGAAACAAAAATAATAGAGTTTTAACATGTTGTTTCCTATTGTTTAATACTTCCCTTCTTTTTTAATTGTTTGGAAAAAAATTTTTTTTCAGCGGCTTTAGCCCTTACGGTGTGTGAAATATTATTAAATGAAAAAATTGAGCTGCAAGCAGGCAATGATAGCACAGGAGAAGTGGATCAAACGCTTATGGCTCATATAATGAGATGTGATAGTGCGCTATGGAAAGGTTTCTCTTTTTGTATGATAAATATTCAGGAGTTTCATGGATTTTAAATTGAAATAAAACTAGAACTAAGTCGAAGAGTATTTAAAAAGTTATTTTTTCAATTTACTGTTTCCAAAATTTATATTACCAACTTATTATTAGCAAAAATTGCACTATCGACTTGTTTTTTATTGCAAAAGATTTCCTAGGTGCAAGAATAGGTTTTCATCAGTTGATTATGGCAACAATATTGATGAATAACGAGCAGAAAAAAGCTTTCTCAAAATTATATGTCCGAGTATGTCTTTCTTTTTTTCGTCGAATACATTCATTTCTACGTGAACCATACACTTCACATAACGATATTGGTTATCACTATGTTGAATTTTATATTAGAAAAAGCATGCACAATTGTATTCACTGAACTTGGAATTGGTGGCTGCGCATAATGACGCAGTCCCGAGGAACTTGATTCATAGTTTAAAAAGGTTGATTTGATAACCAATATCTTGAACGAGTATCAGTAAAACATGTTTTTTTGCTACCTCTCAGTAGGATATGAGCCAAGTAATCAAAATGTATTAGGTATGAATGTAAGTTAAAGCAAAGAAGTTAAAGCTGTTTATTATTGCTGATCCAGGAAATTAGCAAGCTCTATGTTTCAGTTGTACAAAAAGATATACGATGACTTCATTGATGATGATCACGATCAATCGGTATCCATCACTGCCTTAACCGTTCAGGTAAACCGTTTAGGCTGATCTTTTGGTGAGAAATATTTGAAAAATTGTTTATGAATGATTGAGGATGATTGAGAAATCCAGGAACTAATCGATCTTTCATTCTTGAAATACTTCCTTCTATCATATTTGGCATTTTTCACTGCCTTGCTTCTTTTTTTTTTCATTATCCTGCATTCTTCTATTCTTCCATAATGGAAAAAACTGACTATTTTCTGGAAATGATATTGACTAGTTACTTAATTTTTGCTCGTCTCGAACACAGTTCAAGCTGTGTTCTTCATTTGCGGGTAGTGATTTGAAATTGTTTTGATTTTTTGTTTAGATTTTTACCGTACCTACAATAGCGCGTATGTTGATTGCTGAGGAATCAGCTTTCCAAGTTGTGTTCGATACACTGGTGAGCCAGTGCAGGAAATATCTCAAAAGTAATCGGTTATTTTGATTTTTTATTTCTTGTTTCATTAAGCTTTTTCTTTTAGTTTCATAAACTGATAATAAGGGAAAGTAACAGAGAAAATGGATCGGTCTTTCAACTACTTATTAGTTAGTTTTCTTAAATAATCATTATTTTAGCACCAAACAAAATGAAATTTGATTTTTCTGCACGGTCATATCCTCATGCACTTCGACGCGCTTTATATATGCTCAGTGATCAGCGGTAGGTGCAATTTAATTAAAAAAATTGAATAAATGGTAGGAAAAGCTAAAATCGTGATTTCAATCGGTCACCTCAAGTAGTTTCATTCAGCCAGTCTGAAGAGCTATATATCTGTTCATCAACAAAAGTTGACGTGTAACACCGAAAGATTTTAACTCTGTAAATCTTGTAAATTGCTACAGGTAGATGACCTGTATAACGTTATTACTGACGCGCTCTTAACGTGAAATACTGATTTTAATAAGATGAATAAGTGAATTAAGAAAATGCAGAATAAAAACTTTGAAGAAGTGTTTTTCAGATATCTCTTGTCTGTTGTCCCTTCAGAGCAGGAATGGACACCTTCGTTACGTGAAAATTTCCTTTGTGGATGTTCCTCCCTTATACGGTTTCTTTCTTTTATGCAGGTAATCACTTAATTTTACTCATACTTTACTGCAGAGTTATGGATGAACGGTGTACAATGTATGTTTCAGAACTTTCTTAACACTGTTATTTTAACATGATTGCTAATTCCATATTTAACAAACATTGTCGATGAATTTTATTGTCCATGAATTAGAATCGCGTTTTCAATAAATTTCAGGGTATGAATGAAGTTCGTCGTCAAACTACAGAGCATCAAGTTTGGGAGCAGGAATGGGAGACTGCTTTTAATATTCAAATCAAATTACAACACGTCCTTACACTCATCATTTGTTGGGCTAATTCGGATGTGAGCATGCTCCTCACGAAATCTTCTATACTCTCCTTTAGTTATCATAGTTGATCTTAGTCTCATTAAAATACAATTGCAAGTTTAGCGTATTCTTTTTAGACTTCTATATAGACTGTTAAGCTGATCTTGCACAATTTTACATCCGGCCGTATGGTGACTTTCTTCTCAGCGTTTAATATTGCATAATGGATCATATCCAGGTTGCTTACATTTTAAAAAGTTTAATTTAATAATTTATGTTTTCCCTGCAGGAAATTGTCCATAATCGTCTCATGGTTCAACTTATTAACGAGCTGGAAGCGATAGCTGATCAAAATCCTGACTTTGCAAATAAGATTGTTGTAGAAGGTGAACTGTTAGTTCTTGTACTCGATGCTTGAATTTATGAGTTATTTTTTTTTCAAAATCTTCCAAATTTTTGTGAATCTTTTTCAATTAGAATTGAGAAATCTTGGTAATAAAGTTGGATAACTGTTTAGAGTTAATTTAAGAAGATATTGGCGTAATGAACTTTAAACTTCTTGGAATATCATTTGCGAAATCACGATATTGACTTCATACTTTTACGGGTATTATTTGGGAACTCTCAGTGGACGATCCAGTTTCAGATCAAAAATAATTTTTGTTGAAACTATTTCAGTAAATGGTATAAAAGCAACCTCCATACCGTTTGATTTGTCATATGGTTCACTTTCGGTGCATCAACCTCTTTGGCGACTTTTAGCCGGTTTATTCACCGCACAGCAGTCATTGCTTCAAAAAATTTGCATTAGAAATGAGGCAGAAAAAGTCCCCGAAGGAATGATCAATTTAAGAGGGAAGCGTGCACTTCTAATGGAAATGCCACTACGGTGATTATCTGTTTTATCAAACAAGCTTAAATTTCTCGATATAATTGATTTACGGTAAATCGGATTGCGTACGAAAAGAAGTTAATTAAAATAAGTATTTGATTGGCTGACACTCTCCATTTCTCCCGAAATCAGTTACTTTTTTTGTATTTTATCATTTCGTTGTGCTGAATTTTCCCTCTTCATTCTTAGATAAATATAAAGTAATTGATTTGCCTTTTCGAGATTAAAATATTCCAGTGATAATATTCCACTTTTTGATTTGCTTACGATTCTTCAAACACTAGAATTTAAAGTCCTAATCTCCAAAAATTATACTTCATTTTGTGAGTGACCATTGAATTCCAGGGTTTTTGTACTTTGTTCGCAATCACAGGCGCAAATGTGGCGAAGAAATGGGTTTTCATTGGTAAATCAGGTAACCATTAAATCTCATTTTTATTTTCTTTCCATTTTTTTTCTTCATCTTCAAAATTCTAACACAACATGTCAAACTCAGTTATGGTTTTATGAAATCTGAGATTATTCTATAACAGATATTTCATGCATACCTCCACATTAAACTTGTATTTCTACTAATAGTTACCCTCATATGACACACATAACCGAATTATCGAAGTTTGATAATTTCTACATGTGTAAAATGGAGCTGATGCTTACTTTCGAATCATTTCTAAACTTTTATTGTTCATGTTTTGAAATTTATTTTGCAGATCCACAATTATTCTGCACCGACTTGTCGTGCGGAAATGTTCGATAGAGATGTTATGATGTTACAGGTAAAGTATTAAAAGCGAAAATAAATTAAAAATTTTGAAAATGGCCATGATTTAGGATCGCTAATTCAATGTAGGTCTTCTTAGGAAATCTTTTGTTAGAAGAATGAATAAGTGGGCGGACAAAGTAAATATTAACTTGGAGTTACACTGCGTAACCTTCTTCAGTACTGATATATTGCCGTTTCCGGTGTGCAGCCTGGTATCCGTTAGGGAATACATGGAAAATCTTACTTTGAGGATGTCAATTTGTATATTATGGCTCATATGCTATGCTTTTCTGTTATTATCGGACATCTTTATTTTAAATTAATATAACATAAGCTTATTTTATATGAGTGGTAGTTCAAGAAGTTAAATTTCAGGTTTGTGCTGCAGTGACACCGCCTGACACATTCATTATAAGAGTTCTGCATCGATTTGGTTTGCGAGTTTGGGCTGAAACAAATTTCGAGGAAATTCGCGCAGCTATCAGCAATGTAGCATCTGATGATTTGAGCAAATGTACGGTTACTTTAGCTGAGGAAATGCTTCACTTATTAATCATTATTATTGGTTAGTTTTTACTCGTGTTTTGCATACTTTTCATACGATTTTTATCCGGATTATTAATAAATGTTCACTGGCTTCCGTTTTGCATTACCGTACATCACTTTATATTGTGTCGGCCCATTTATCAAGCGAAGTTCAACCACGTTGACAGACTTGCTTTAATACTTGTTTTTATCATATCATTTAGTTTTTTCGCGAAATTGTTCTGTCAATTATTAAACAAAGTTAGGGTGGGAATGACATTGTAGGAGAGCGTTACATGCCGGGTGTTGGAAAATCAACAATGAAAGCGTTACTGCGGCGTGAGGTTCTCCACGTCCTTGCTACAAAGCCAACACCTTTCAGTAAGGTAATGTGTTATCGTTTTATCAATAAATATGTTTGCAATCGCAAAATTTACTTTATTATTGGATTTAAAGATTGAACGTGCAATGCCAGTAAATCAACTTTTCGCGGAACTTTCTGTGGAAGAAGCGGCTAAAAGTGTAGGAGATTTCAGGTATATTTCTCCTTAGTTTTCCTTATTAGTTCAACTGTTTCATCCATTTCCATCTTTTAGAAAACATTCTTGAAGGATGTTTTTCCTTGAGGGATGGGAATAACACTATAGGTTTCCTTTTTCTTTTTTGTCAGACTTTTTCTTATCTTGGAGCCTATTTCTTTGATCTCCCTTCATCTGGAAGACTATTTGATAAAAATTTATTTTAATTCAGCTGTTAAACTTTTGCAGGAAACCAACGAAGACATCACCGGGTATTTTCCTATTAAAAGATAATGTAAGAAGTGAGTACAATGCATTCTTTTATCACTATTCGAAAACGGATGTTTCAAATGCTGACCAGTATCGACAAAAGTATGCTGACAAAGCGCTTAAAAAGTATGTCACAATTTCGAAGAGTATTTTTGCGCCGAAATTACAGTCGTTTTGAAATTTGCTAAAAAATTCAATAATTTCTAGGACAATGATCACAACAACTATTAACTGCCATGTGATCATTTCGGATTGCACTAATACTAGGGTGACAAATTCTGTGTGCATATGACAGATGGATTAGCAAAAAGTGACTAAAATGAAACTTGACATACAAAATGCACGGAAAACAATTACTCAGAAGTAAAACTGCTGTAGGTCCGATTCAGGAAAAATTGATGTCGCTATAAACTGAGGAAGAACTGAATCTAAGTTAAACAGAAAACTACCGGTTGAAATAAATTCAGAGCAACTTTCGTTAATCTAGTCATTTATTTAATTCCGAAATAAAGTCTTAATTTGATAGTTTTTGCCTTCAGAGAGGTAGCAATAGCAGCACCACCGATGCCACCACAATTTGAACCGTTTTATGCGCCTATCATAAATCTTTTGCGCAGCAAAATGATGATGCAGCTGATACGTATCGTTCTTGAGAGGGCAGCGCGAAGAAGTCGCTACTCAAGTGATGGCCTACTGCATCGAGTAAGTTCGCATAAACGATTTTTTTTATTGTGCATAATATAATAGAATATTGATACAAACGATGTTTTTTAATTTATGCTTCCACCAGCATATTTTGTTTGGTCATTATTACACTCTTAAGTGTCTACTCACTTTTAAATTTCGTAATTTTAAACTTGTTCCTATTGTCGGAATTTGTTCAAGTTTTGTATTTTTTATGTTTTTGTCGTCTGAGTTTTCATGAAACTCGGACTTTTGGTATTCTTTATTGTTACTTTCTTCAAAATAATGCTAACACTTTGGTAAAATTGTAAGTGTTTATTCGAACTTGAGACATAAAATAGGTGCAATTTTCGGTAACAAAATTTGCTATGTATTTTTCAAGCACTGTATTTTTCGACTATATTACTGAAATATCTAACTTTCTTTTTGTAGGCGCTTTTCCTTGTGGGAATGGGCCTTAATGAGCAGGCCATGAACAAGAACTTCGACTTCATCAGTTGTGCTGAAGAGGCTAATGTATTTACAGTGATGAAGAGCTTGACTGGAAAACCTGAATCAGAACCACATGCTGATCTTCTGGGATATTTGCTTGAGGTTATCATCTTTATTTTGTGGTGATTAAAATTCTACTGGATGCAATAAATAAAACTATAATCATAATTAGGGTTGAGGAATTGAGATTGAAGGGCGAGAAATTAAGTGAGACTTGAAATCACCGTAAAAATTCGTTT